AATATGCGACGCTCGTATAATAGCTTGCAAGCAGCTTCGAATGGCTTTGCCAATTTTTGGGAAAACTTTGATCTTTAGTGAAAGCACACTTCATTTTCATAATTGTCGCGTCAACAGATACCGGCGAACTGGATGAAAACCGAGTATTTGTTTGGTTACGCATTGCAAGAAATCTTAAACATCCATTCGTGCAAAGTAATTGAAAATGAAACATAGCCTAGCGTCAGTTAGACTTGATACCCTAACTATATTACTAACGTATGTATGGATGTGTTTGGCAAATATTCATATTTTTGGATTGGAATTTTTATTGCTTTTTCCTTTTTTTAATTTCTTATTATTATTTTTTTAAATCTTTTTTTTACTTTTCGTAGTGTTTATATTCTGGTCCAGTTTTTTTTTTTTTTTTTTTTTTTTTTTTTTTTTTTTTTTTTTTTTTTAGATACAACTTTACGATGATAATAAATCTAACATTGATTTAAAGTTTTATAAAAAGAAGAAAAACAATAGTCATTTAATAAATATTCATCATATTCATTCATTCATATGTATTTGATTTATATTTTTAAACTCATGCAGTCACAATGTCTATTCAAATTTATTGAATTTAATTCATGGCTATATAAAGCAATGAATAAAATCAAACAATTCAATGCAATTTATTTTCTTTGGCCTGTCACAGATATATTTTAACCTATACACATAAACTATAATATGTCTTTTAACTTTTTTGTTTTTTTTTCAAAATGTCATATTTCCACATGTTTTTCATATTTCGTTTTAAAGTTTTAAAATTTATTTATTTATTATTTATTTTTTTGTTTTTTTGTTTTTTTTATTTAAAGCTTAGTTATAGATAGTGTTCCGGGGTATGTTATGTTATGTTTTATTTTTCCTATTTTTTTTTTGTTTTGTTTTTTTTTTTTTTTTTTTTGTATTATTATTTATTTATTTATTTATTTATTTTTTTGTTATAGTTACTTTACTTGAAAGGAGAGGTTCATGTTTTTCACACATTTCTAATTATGTATAGTAAAAATACAACAACAATTGATTCCCTTTAGAGTAGTTAATTTTGCTTGTCGGTAAATTCTACCTTCATCAATCCATCAAATAATGTGCACTTTTGTTTCATGTAAAATATAAATGAAATATAAATAAATATTTTATAATAAATTGAAATAAACGATTATTGCTATTGCTATTAAATTATTCATTGCCCATTATATCATATCATAAATTTCGTAAACACATATAATATTTATTTAATTATTAAATTTTTTTCTTATAACACAAATACATTCATATATACCTGCCTGTATTATTTCATCAAGAACACATAACAAAGTGTTATATGATATATGTATGCATTCGTCTTTTACGAATACTTTTACTATATTTAAAAGTAAATATCCGAAAATCGTTCAGAATTTTAATTAATACACATTAGAAGAGCGTTTAACACTTACTTATCCAATATCCGCGAATTGATAGATTGTCTCTGTCGTTTGTCGAACTTGAAGATATAACAAAAAAAAAAACTACACTTACTTTCTCGAAGTAAATCCGCAAGTCCAGAAACCAAAATAATCCCGAGGAATTTAAAAAACTTTTTAATAATTCCTATGTTATTTAATCAAGAGGAATACATGAATGGAGCAGTATTTTATTGATTGAGCCGTTTAATTTGCAAGTGGACTAAGTCCATTTTTCAAAAAAAAAAAAAAAAAAAAGTTAAGCTAGCTATTGTGATGTTTATATATCTACGTTATCTTCTCAACCCAAGAGAGTGCAATATTATTATGTTGAGATCACTGTACGAAAAAACGAGACCAATCACTCAATGTTCAAATACAACAATTAACAACCAGCTAACGGTGTACAACGCGTATATGCGTCAAGATACGTCCATCCGTCCTTGTCAGGGTTCCTCATAAAATTCCATCATTTACATTTATTCTCCCCAATGCATTTTAGTGCAGAAAATATTTTTGTCATTTTGTCAAATCATTTCATTACAATCTAATTTTAGTTTACATATATTCCGTATTTGATAGATTATATCGCGGACCATATCGCTAAAAAAGTCGACACAGTTAACGGGTCAATGGATTTACAATCCCATATACTACTCGCACGTAACAGTTATTTTAAATTCCTCGCGCATAAGCAAATCTTGGAGAAGAATAAATCCAATTAATCGCAAAACGTTATAGTTCTAATATAAAAAATGCCTTAAGAGAGAATAAAAATCAAATAATTTTTAATTTTATTAAATTTTCATTTCAGTTTTCTTTCAGTTATTTCATTAAAGTGATGTAAGTCGATTTATAGCTACGAAGAGCAAATTGTTTTCTCAATAGTGTTAATTATGCGAATTGGATTGATAAATCGTACAACAATAGAAGGTTTTAACCTAAATGAACTTGGAGTATTTTCAAAATAAACGATTCAATTTTAAATAAGGAATTGTGACTACGATTTATACGTTTTATTCAGTTATTTCCATATTACAATTTTAATGTATTTTTCCTTTCACTTTTCCTTTGCATTAATTTATTTAAGAATATGCTATGTCATGCTCTCAATTTAAACATTTTATTTTAATGTTTGCGAGTTTTATAAATGTTACAAGAAAACTTTCTAATTGTAGAGTTTTACTGGATGCAAGTTCGCGTCACTTTCGCTACGGAGACTGAAGGAGCTAAGCGGAAACGATGTTTTTATAGTCTTCTGGAATGCGTACCTTTGAGAATCGCCAATACACATAAATTATTTTAGTTTGTTTTTAAGTGACTTTGGAAAATTTTTGTATCTACTTTTGTTACCTAACAGTGGCGGGTTAGTTTTTCATCTTCTTCTTCTTCTTCTTCTTCTAAAATTCATCAAATCAATATCAGATGATAGATTCAATTTGCTGTGTAGAAAAGATCTAATGGGAACACGAAATTCGACTTAAAATATGCTTTTAAAACTATTTTTTATCTGCCTGAGTGACCGAGTGGATAAAATAGTCCCGAGTAACAACTCAATGATCATCGAATTAATTATAATAAAAATATTTCAATAGTTCCGCTTTTTATACCCTATATCATTTATGATGCAAAGATATATTAATTTAGAGCGTATGTTGGGAATATAAAGAGGGATTTGAAGCTGACCCATTTCTTATTATACGCACGACTTCTTTGCCCTTTTGTTTATTTTGTATTCTTGCGTTAAGCCTACAGATCGTAATTTTTGATATATTTTATTCAAATTCGTTACACCAAGGACAAGGAAGAACACGCTTGGTCCGTTCGGATTGGGCCACTTTTTCAATTCACTCCCCATACATGTAATACCTTATTTTGAAAAGTTCTTATACGAATAATTGTATTAAGCGTAGTACTGTAGGCTAGTTCATGATAGGCCCTGTCCCACTATAGCATTTATACCTGTTTTAGCCAACAAAAAAGGCAAATATTGACCTGTCAATACTTTAAAGAACTCATGCTATCTGTAGAAGTTTAAATGTACTTTCGCAGCGAGGCGTAAATCGTATCGCATTGCGAATGACGTGTAAATGAACCGGATATTAAGTAAAATATGTGAAAAAAGTCTTTTTTAAGAAGATGTCTGTAATTTTGGTTCGTGTGCAAGCTATAATTAATTGATTAATTTAAAAAAATATTTTTTTTTAAAATGTATTCTGTTTTTTACAGACTTATGCACAGATGCACAATAACCTTATTATTAATATCACTTTTTTCTTTTTTTTAACATAACCAATCACTGAAGAGATATTACCGACATGTTTAAAACGATGAAGGTTACAAAGAAGTGAGGAAAGCGAAAAAACAAAAAAAAAATGGGGAATGGCCGCATGTTAATGCGTGTGTGCTTAATTGGTGAAAGTGCTATACATATATTGACTGAGCATTCGCTATAGCTGCCTATAACCACTTATTCTTTATCGCACTGAGAACTGAATCTTCGAACAGCGACTTAGTGCTCGTGATTCTTATCTAGTTCAGCGCGGAAATTTTAGTGAACATAGAGCAGACAGACTGATGCATATATTCAAAGTATTAATGTGTGTACTTTTCGCCCAAAACTTATTTGTCGACTTTAATTTTCCCGTAATTTCAGGTATAGATAACCTAGATATGTTTCAGTTAATTACAAGCTTGTGTTCAGTGTATTTTAACGCGTAAAGCAATGGAAGGCATTTACGACGCTGTATTCTTTTTCTTTCTAAACTAGATTAAACAAAAAAAAAAGGCAGCCCAGGAAGTGATCTTCAAATTGGTCTTGAGGCATCTACTAACTGCAGCATATTCTCCAGAACTGTCTTCTTCTGACTCAAACTAATTCAGATCCATGCAGTCACATCATGTAGATCAGACGCTTTGCTAAGTTCAAGATGAGCGAAAATGGGCCGATAAGTATATCGCTACGAAATTATGAAGTAGCCACAGTGACGCCATCCGTACGCTGCCCGATGAGAGACAAAGGCCACAGATAGCGTTGCTCGAAATCACGGTTATTAAGCTTTGTAATAAGTCTATTACAAACAAGGTTAAATTTTATTAAAAAAAAAAAAAAAAAAAAACAGAAAGAATTTATTAATATATCTCATATACGTACATAGAGAGTTCCATATTCGGCCGAAAAAAATGTATAAATCCTACGATCCCTTTCGCCTGAAAATTGTTTAGATCATTACAATATAAAATTGCAAAATTTTTTTAATTTATTGTTATTAGTTTAGCCAGAGAAATGAATTGTGAGACTAAACTCTTAAAGCCCGAAAAACTAAAAGGCTATTGGTTTTATTCAAAAGGCTACTGCACCTGAGATTTGAGCTCACGGCCGTTGAGCTGTTAATCGTCATCTACTACCTACTCGTCGCTCATTCATTTCATTCTATTTCATTGATTTTGAAGAAATTCTTTTTTATCATAGAAAGGTTAAAGGAAGAACTACATGGCTTATTCCGAAATTGGCAATGGCTACTTTCATAATAAACTATTAGAGGTTACTGCTGCTTCTAATAAACTATTAGAGGTTGCAGCCTGCTTCTTTGCAGCTAGCATTTGCCTTTTCATGTAAGAATCGCTATCCAATTTCTTTTTAATAGGAAGCTACGCTCATTATTTGCAAAGCGATTACTATAGAAAAGAGGATAATAGTGTTTTCCTCGATTTTTTTTTTAAATCATTCTGTAATCTATACTCCTCCAAGCTAATAATTTGACTCTTATTAAATAAGTAATCTCTGAGGTTACGGTTTGGTCGAAAAGTAAATCTTTAGAATACAACTGCATGGTGGCATTAAAGATTCTTTGACCTTATTGTTGTAAAGTGAGAGGGAAGGACTCTTTAATATTGTTTTCAAACATGCACAGCATATTTATGAGTGACACTTGCGATAGCTGCCTAGACTTTCGAAATTGTATGCTAATATTTTGAAAATATAATAAAGGATCTAAGGGAACAATGTCTTTTGTTTTTAGATTTATGCAGGCTTAAAACTCTTGCTTGAGTATGTCGACGTAGACGCCTGACGGAACAAAAATAAGGTACAAAATTGTGAATTGTTAGTTCTTTTTTAGAAAAGCAAATCCATCATAAATTATGATTGAGTAGATCTTTCTAAAGCATAATTGTAATCAAAGTTCGATTGGAGGAAATATATATGGGCTTTTCAACAAAGCCCTAGCTTTACAACTGACAACTTATTTTCTATTAGAGCGGAAGTGTTAATTAATCTCATGCAAAAAATCATTTTTTTTTTTTAAGAGCTTGGGTGTATTTTTAGGGAAATACGTTGATGTAAAGTAATGAAAGTTTCACTAAAATAATGAAATAAAAAATAATCCGATGTAGCGGAAAGCTCAACAACGAACATTATTATTATATATAGATTGAGCTATCAATCAGTTGGCGGCATTGCTCTTATACTAATAGCCGACTGTTTATTAATAACCGCAGCAACAAAGTTATCAGTGAATAGACAGACCGCTTGCAATTGATAGGATATATATTTGTCTGGAAATCTGACATCTGACATCTGACGGAAAATTTGTATGGATCGATTCAAGTTTGAGGATGAGTGTGATTCGCAATAAGAAAGAAAAGACAACGTTCGCAATCGATAGGAGTTATTTATGTGGATCATCTAAAACTTCAAGCTTCAACTCCAAGCTTCACTTGGTTAAAAAGATTTCCGAAGCATAAAAAAAGATCCAAGTTTATAACCTATAAATTATATTGATATAAAATTTGCGCATCTGGGAAAACTGTTCTAACTAAAATGTTCATGTTCACGTTCAACATAAATACTAAGCAGAGCTGAGAAATGTTATTTTTGGATGGACACACATCAAAAAGTTGCCGTACATCGGCTAAAGCTTTCTTATTTCTTTTTGAAATACATTAAGGATGCACTCGTTCCACCTTCTATTGTATGTTGTAAACCAATGTTGACTTGATGATGAGAGAAGGGAAAATGTTTTTTAATTCTGCGCTATAAGGTAACAAAAAGAGATGCCACGTGCTATGTGTTCACTTGGAAAAGTTTTGCCAATGATGCGGAGTTGAAAAAAATATCTAAAAATTAATTAATTTTAAGGGTTCGTTTTGGTTCGTAATTAAAGAAAACAAGAAAGAAAATTATATTCGGTTATGGCTGAAATTTTTTTACCCCCATCACTGCTATCTTAAAAGAGACGAAAAAGTAAAAGAACTAAATTTTAATACTCCACAATATGGTAGTGGGCGCGGCCGATTGTTTCTATTTTCGAAATAAGAGTTTTTGTCGAATAAACGTGTGGACATTGTAGGCGTGTCTTTTGAAAAGTTTAAATCCTTTTCCAATTCTCTTGCATATTTGTAGGCGATATCTTCATTTTTGCGGATGGCGGCATCTTCACCATAGATAGTACACAGTTGGGTAGACGGACAGATTGACAGGTCGAAAAGACGGATATGCTTAGCTGCATTTTGAATTTGGCACTGGTCAAGAATGTATTTGCTTTACGGACGGAGTTTTTGAAGTTTGCTTCTTTCTCCACGTTATATAGATAGTGAAAAGTGTTAGACAGACGGACAGGCGAACAGACGGAAATGTTTAAATCGATTCAGAATTTGATATTTGATCAAGAATATATACTCTGTGAGGTCGTTGCGAGCGTTGCATACGTTTTGACAAGAAAAATCCAGCACTCATCCCTTGGTGATGGGTGTAAAAAAAATATAAATAACAAACACATTTAAAAAAGTAAAGCAACAACATTGAATAAAATATTTGCGGTTTTCTTGTTTATCTATTTTGTTCATTTACTTTTAAAGTATTTCGTTATTTAAATGAAAATATTTTTTCAATTGCTTTTTAGTGCCTTTTCCGTGGTTATTTTCGTCTTTTTTTCGTCTTTGAGTGACTTGTATTTTTTTTATTTGTTTTTTTTTTTTTATTTTAAATAAAACCTTCTTAGTGTATTAATGTTCTGGTTTATACCTGCCGGTAGTTATTATTATCTATTATCCTTTTAAAAAACTTTTCCTTTAATATTTGTTTAAAAGCTTGCTATCAATTGATGAATTTTTTTTTAAAATTATTCTTTCATTGATGAGATCCTATAACTTAAGTAACTTTGACATTCTTAAAAATTGTATTTTTGTTCAGTAAAATGGCTTAAGCCACTTAGTGTTCACTTTATTGAATCTTAATCCACATGAGTTTGTTACTTCGTCTATTTTTCTATATACTTTTCTTCATCAATGTGTAGAATAAATTTCCTTTTAGTACAAATGTGCAGTGCATAATACCTTTGAACAATTAGCAATAGGATCTAGAATGCTGGACACATCTATCTACAATTGGTGTTGAAAATAAATCTCCTATAGTAACTGCCTTAAGAAAAACTTATTAGTAAAAAGTTGTGGCTTTTCTTACTTTTCAAAAAAAAAAAAAAAAAAAACATCTGTAATGAATAAAAGCTACAAATAATATTTGAAATGTTTTACCTCTTAGTCCGTTGGCGTATTCGATTGGCGACTAGTTGTTCAGCAGTTATCGAGCATTGAGCCGAACTGAAAACAATTTATATGAAGAGTGATTGTTGTGAGAGAGAGTCGCTAGGCAAGCAAGTAGTATTTACTTTTTTTTCTTCTTTTTTGTTACAAGTTAGAGTTTTGTTGTGCTTATCTTACCATTAAGTCGGTTTTTAAGTTTGTAAAACAGTGAAAAGTACTCCAGTTCGATATGTTTGCGAAATTTAACAGTTGCGTCATTGCAGTGGCGCTTCGACAAAATCTAATGAATAACCAAAAGCAGGACGTTTCGCTATTCGTTGTTGTTGTATTTGTTAAAATCTATAAGCATTTTTCGTCTTTCAGTTGAGTTTGCTTCACACACACACATAATTCGCGTAGTAGGGAGTAATTCTTCTTGTTTTTACAGAGGTAAAAGCTTATATACTACAAATGAATAATAAAGCCGTATAAATGTATGTAACTCGTTGGCCACATATGGACAAGTATATGTTGTGATTATCCCAAAATTGAAGTCAACAGTTCTATGAAAATTTACAAAAAAAAAAAAACAAAAAAAAAAATCAATTCAATAAAAAAAGATTTTGAAATGTTCTTCAGCTTTTAAGGGAACCTCTACAGCTATGTATATCAGTAATTGAGAATGGAATCATGTACAAGTCATGTACAAATGTTATTATTATTATTATTATTTTTTTTATTTTTTTTATGGAAGGGGAAAGTTCCAGGCAGGTGGTCGGAGAGAGGGAGACGTGGAGTGGGGGAAGGAGATAATGCCAATCAGGACTTTAATGAATACATTATCGAGAGTTTCGTGTAATCGGCGAAAAATTTTGAAGAAGAAAAAATGAAAGAGAAAGAATAATACAATTTCATATTATTTACTTTAAGACATAAAGGGCATAAGAAACATTTTCATAATTTAATAAAACATTGCTACTGTCATGTCATCGTTCATCATCGTGTCATTCTAATCGTTCGTAAATTTCTCGAGATATAATGCCGATCAATATTGAGATTTAGTTCATTTCATTACAAGGTAAAGAACCAGTTAAAATGTTGATATGATCCGGTTTGATTGATTGATTTTTATATCCGAAACCATTTGTGATACAAGGATATATTAAGATTGTGTGGATGTACGCAGCACCCGAAAGATGGTGAAATAGATTCAGTCCGACTGTCTGTCTTATTTTCCTATATTCAACCGATAAATTGCAATTATTGAGATGTTTCGATGAGACTTGGTACATAGCAGGACGCGTTTTGACCAAAGGACGAGTGCTTTTAGAAATGTTTCGATTTGGAACGACCTTTTCCGATTACGACCCATCTAACGCTTTAGTTTGAAAAGTTGCTATATGAACAAATGTTTTAAACGAAGTGGTCAAAGGTATTCGATGATGGGAAGTGTATCACTACAGTATTTTTACTTGTTTTTTTTGTTCAAATAGAAAAAGACATTTTTGTACCCAAGAGATGGTGGTAGAATAACGCTTTATTCCATACAATATATTATATTATATATTATATTATTGATTGCTAGTGCTCAATGTCTTTTTTTAGTCTAAGAATTCAATTCATTAGTCTAAAATTAAAATAATAATAATAATAATAATAATATATTATTGAAAGTTCAAGTTTGAGTATCAATTATGTATATAAAACAATCGTAATCGGCCTAAAACGAAATCCGACATATCTAAGTAATCAAGGGAAAAAGCAAAATGCTTATATATATATATATATATTATATATATATATTTTCATCGATAAGTCATCATTCACACGAAATATTAAACTAAATGGAAAAGCTTGCATTTGATTATTTGAACTCTTTTTTTTTTTTTTTTAGTGAAGTATCATATAAGAAAGTGTGCGATGAGAGGGTACGGAAAATTCATGATAATGCGAACATATAGTTCAACCAGTTGTGAAACATATATCAATTTTCTTATATCACTAATCGAATCACTGACCAAGAAATACGAATCGTGTGAAAATTATATAATAATATAATGTGTTCTTGATTTTGCCTCTCATAAAATGAAATGAAAAAAATAAATTAACATTTTAAAGAATGTTCACTATGCCCTTTGTACATTCAACTGAACTTGATTAAATGTATTCTTCTGTTTATTACCTTCGACTGTACAAATTAATGAACTGAAAATATCAAAAGTGTATTATTATTATTATTGTTGTTGTTGTTGTTGTTTTTTTTTTTTTTTTTTTTTTTTTTTT